AGTAGAAGCTAGGTATCCACTGTTGTGTGGGAATTGTAGACCGAGAGTCAAACACGAGATGGAACAGATTTACAAGCGATATCCCAAATCTATTCAACAAGTGAGCAGAAAGAAGAGAGATTATGGAGTGTATTGGAATATTGGACACTTGATACTGCTTTTCAGAGCATTTTACAGAGATATCTGGAACCACTGTTTGATCTTGGTTGTATTAGTTGGATTAGTGGCAAGAGGATGGCACCAGTACCATTTGGAGAGAGAAAGATCCATCTTGTTGCATCCACCCAGGCTGAAATTCATCCTGAAGACACTTTTGAGTCTGATGTTGTTGTTGGCAGCATATCTGTTGCCGTATGTGTATGATCACTGGCTGTGGAGTGTGTTGATGGTTGTTCAGTTGCTTTACATTTCCTTTGGACACATGACTCTTTCACAACCAGATGGCAGAGACCCTGTGCCCGCCAGATCACCACAATCTGAGAGAATGCCGGCACATGGACAGCAGACACACAGACTGGAGACAGAAACACAGGAGCCAAGAATCACACAGAGAACACAGACACATGGACTGCAGACAAACAGAATACAGATAACAGAGAGACTGGACAAAGTGAAACCAATGCAAATGAGAATGGATGTAGACCCATCCCTCGTAGATCCAACAGATTTCAAACACGCATTCGGACCAAAAACAAAAACCACAAAATTCAACCAACAACGTCTCTTCCCACAAGCTGTAACATTACTAACAACAGAGAAACACTGGACTAGAAGATCTGCTGTCAAAGACCAATCTGAGTGACAAAAAGTCATGGTGGTAATTAAATCGTAGATGTGGACACTTTTCAGCATCTTTTTCGCAAAATGTCTTTAAAGCAGTGTGAGTTTGTTTGTTTGGACGTCACTCGCGACTTTGCTTCATGAGCAAGGTAGAGCCGCTTGGAGAAGTACATGAGCTGGTAAGGTGCTTGATATGAGGTTGTTGTTGGCTCTGGTGGTGTTGGCAAGTCATGCCTCACTGTCAGATTCCTCAAGGACGAGTTTACGTCTGATTATGACCCTACCATTGGTCCTAGTGTTGATTTTAGAAGAGAACTACCGCAAAAATGTTACTGTAGACAATGCCCAATGCACAGCTTACATCACTGATACAGCTGGGCAACACGAATACAAAGTACTGCGCGACACGCATCTAAAAGAAGGCAAGGGATTCTTGCTTGTGTTTTCTCTCGCAGACCAGAGCTCTTTAGAGGAAGTCAAGCAACTGAGGGATCAAATCATTGGTCTCAAAGGCACCAAAAAAGTGCCATTTGTGATTTGTGCCAACAAGTGTGATTTACCAGAGAGCCAGATTGAAGTAGATTTGTCAAAGGCAAAAGAGTATTTTGATCAGTTTAAAATCCCAGTCATTGCCACATCAGCCAAAGTACTAGATCTGACACTAGGAGAACATCAATGTCAGTGAAACGTTTGACCAGTTGGTCCGTGAATGCCGCAAGATGGAGAAAGGCTCGAATGACAAGAAGAAGAAGCCAAAGAAGCAAGCAAAGCAAGGAGGCTGCATCATATTGTAACCAATATCAATTCAAATTCCTTTTACTGTGCAGAGAGCGTTTGAGTGAGCGTCTTTGGGTTTGTTCTTCGAATGGTCTCTTTTGTGGATCTTTTGGTTCCTGTGATCCCAGAGGACTCTTTTCATCTGTGGTATCTCTCACAGATGCCGTATCTCCTACCGATGAGGAATCTCTCGCAGATGCGGTGTCTCTGAGAGTTGGTTCCTTGGACTGCTGACTGTTCTGCTCAGGAGACTGCTCGATAACAGCTTTGGCTACTGCTGCAGTATCTACATTTTCTTTGGTCTCGGACAGATTTGAACTTTGAAGCAACTGCTCAGATGACACATGCGACGACTGATTGGCATACTGCAAGGTCCATTCCTTGGCTTTGGCACAAAAGAGACTGTAATCAGACTTGTACACTTGCGCAATGTCCATGTCCAGAGGATCATCTGGATTCGGTTCCATCATCAACAGCTGAATGGATTTCAACACTGCTAGAACAGACAAGGATGGATTCCAAGTGCCTTTTGGTGGAGTCTTGAGAACATCCAAACAGATTCTGCCACCTTCATCGACATTGGGGTGATATATCTTGGTCTTGAACCTCACCAATGGCGGTTCAAACGGATATCGGTCTCCAATCTTGAGTTCGAGTTGAAACTGTCCCTTTTCGTACGGACAATCATCCAATCCCACAATCGTTGCTTGTAGGTCAAACAGAGATTCTCCCTCTGGCCAGACAGTGATACCAGGGGGTGGATTCTTGAACTGCTTCAGTTCTTTGGTCATTCTCAGTCGCGACTGCATCCAAAAATAGAAAACCAAAAATAGACCTTAAAAAGGCCAGGATCTCTCTTTTGACATGCATCTCTTGCTGCTCTGCGTCAGTGCCAAGGTCAATCTCAGACCACAATGCTCAAAAGGTGAGATTGTCCAGACGTGCAGCTGCCCATCCAACCAAATCATCACTGTTCCTGTGATCACCAATGGCACTAGACCTAGAACGACACCATTCTGCCAATGTGTTCCCACCAATACCACTGCTCTTAGATTGAGACCAAATCTGTGCTGCTCTCAACACGCACAGAACAAGACATGCACTCCATAAACTCCGTGTGCTTTCCATGCTGTTTGTGCTTGCTCTCGTGAGATGCACTCCTGGCCAATTGGTGAGAGACTGCGACTGCCCAAAAGTCAAAACCATCCATGCTTACATTCCCTTTGACCACAAAACAAAGCGACAGGCATTTTGCATGTGTCTGCCAACCAATATCTCATCTGCCGTTCCAGACATCTGTTGCAGTAGGAAATTGAATCAAGAGCTGTGTTTATGACACTTGGAGATCTCTCGAAGTAAAGTAATCACTCCCATAAGATGTGTACAGTTCTTCATCTGGTTCAATGTCTCGGTCTGCAATGTACAACACTATCCATCTGTTTCTCACTGGCACCATCACAGATTTGACATTCAGCAGTTGCTCATTGTGATTGACAAATCTCATGTAATTGCCCATGGTTCTGCCATCAATCCCAAGATCTGACTCGTTTTTGGATCTCAAGAGTGTTGGATATCCCCTTGTGTTAGCCTTTTCACCATGTGTAATCAGTGTTGAGGTTAAAAGTCGAGAGGTATCCGGTATACACAGACAATGGCTCTCCCTTTGACAGCTTGACTTTGCAATACAATCCATATCCCCTTTCTGAGCCAGTGTGTTTGACATAGAAGCGTCTTCTGTCTTCCATCTCATGTGATCCCTCCAAAATGAAGGATTGGTACTTTTCTTGCAGCTGCAATGCACTCTGTGGATCATCTGTATACTCTGCGTCCAAAAGAATGTCCTTTTGATCCAGTTCCGGTGTGATGTCTGGATCTTCGATAATGTGATGCAACGGTTTGACGCCAAACATGTCTTCAAAGTCGTCATAGCTGAACCTTTCATCTGTATCTACAGACTCTTCATGGTGGTCGTCAATCTCTTCATGGTGATCGTCAAGAGTGTCAATCTCTTCATGACTGTCAACGTCCTCTGTCTGATGACTGTGGTCATGAGGTACTTGTTGAAACTGCTGCACAATCCTTGTTCTGTTGTGTATCAAAAGCAACTGCCGCACTTGCTTCTCCAATTTCAAGTTGACTTGTCTGTGTTCATTCAGACTCTCTTGCAACGGCAACACTACCACCATCTGAAAGACAGCAATTGCTACTACCAGTGCAATGAACAGCAAGTCAAGCTGTGGTTTCATGAGGCGCAAAGTTGCCGCAAATTGTTTTAATCACAAATCCAGGCCACGAGTCTCAAAGTAAGCATCGCCATAGGAAGTAAAGAGCTCAGTGTCCTTTGGAATGTCTTCGTGTGCAATATACATGACATACCATCTGTTGTCGCAGAGCGTGTACTCTGGTCGTGTGTTCAACTCATCGCCAGCATGATTGACAAAGCGCATGTAGTTGCCAATACGTAAAGAGTCCATGCCAAACTCATCTCCCTTTGGCAGATAGTCAGAAGGATATGTCCACATGTAGTCGGTGTTGAAAGTGGATCGCGTGCCAATGCCAGTGTACAAACCCACGACTTCACCTTCCTTGAGATCCTTCTTGGCAAACAAGCCATAGCCTCTCTCCATGGAGCTCCATTTGATGTAGTAACGCTCACGCTCGTACTTTTCCTGCGAACCAGCACGGATATATGGACAGTACAGCGCAGTGTTTTCTTCGTTGCCTTCAACATCCTCAGTGTACATACTTGCTTTTTTGGCATCATGCTGGTCAAGCACACGGCTGAGATCTGGATCCCACATCACATAATGCAGTGGCTGCACATTGAACTTTTCCTCAAAGTCATCGTACGAGAACTGCTTTCCTGGGTTCAATGGTGGCTTGTACGAGTGATGCACATCCTCCACATGCTCTGGCACAGATGGCAATGACACATTCACAACATGTCGCTCCAACTCTTGCAGCTTCTGAGCGTTTTCCTGCACTCGCAAAGACATGGGTCTCACAACAGCAATCTGGAAACCCAAGGTGCAGATTAGCAGCACAGCAAGGAGGAAATACGACTTGTCCTGTTTCTGAACTGGCTTATCCAACTGCTGGACAACTGGCTTTTCAATCAACGGAGTTTGGGAGGTTCTGCGCTTGTGCATTCAAGAAAGGGAAGTAGGCTCTGTTTTAAGTTTGTGAGGCGTTTGCCGTTGGCGCTGTTCCCGAGCACTTTGGGGGGTTTCCAAACGGCACATTGAGCCAAACCCAAGTTGCAGATCCCCCTATCTATCCAGAAAACTATTTCAGTGAAAATGGTGTTAATATGATGGGATTTGTCGAAACAGGCTTTTGCACAAGTGTTTCAGCTTCTCACTTGCAACCTATTGAGCACAACATGAGATTTCAGAGCAGAATTTTTCAAGAATCTGGTAAAGTGGACTTTCTCGATTTTTGGAGTCGATATGGCCGAGTGGTTAAGGCGTTGCACTCGAAATGCAATGCTCTCTGAGCGCGCAGGTTCAAATCCTGCTGTCGACGTTTTTTGCCAATTATGGAGTCGTGTCCTCAAAACCCGTCAGCAACCAAGGTCTCGCTGGGTGTTTTTATTTGCTTGGGATTGGTAGCAGCATGGGCTCCACAGATCTCTGCAGTCCTCAAGTCCAAATCCTCACAGGGAATCTCAATCTGGTACCTTTTGCTGGGATACATGGGTTCTCTTGCAACGATCGCTAATGTCATTCTCCTGCAGTCGGATGCTGTCGCTTGCTGCTTCACAGAGTGGCCCCTGGGCTATTGCTTGCAAGACACACTTGGAATCACCCAGACGTTCATCCAGACAACCTTCTTTCTGACTTTTGTGACACTAGTCTACTCTTGCATCCCTGACAGTGCTCGAGTAATGGCTATTAGACTTGCTATGACCAAATTGGCGTTTGGATTCTTGATCTTCGTTTCTGTAAGTACTTTGCTTGTATTGAAAGCCATGGATGTCGAAGGGTCTCAGGAAGTCCTCGAAGGATGGGCTGGCTTCCTCGGTGTTGTCGCTGCTGTGACTGGTGTCTTTCAGTTCGTGCCTCAAGTCATTCACACCATCATGACTCGTGACTTTGGCTCGCTGTCTGTCGTATCCCTTGGTATGATGGCTCCTGGATCGTTTGTGTTTGCTATCTCACTCGCCATGCAGCCTGGCACCAACTGGACATCGTGGATCTCATTCGCAGTTTGTGGAGTCTTACAAGCATTTCTGATCTTGCTATGGATTTACTTTCATGCCTTTCCAGAACACAAGACAGAGGAGCAGGAAGAGCTTTTACAAGAGTAGCCTAAGATCGTGTACTCTCGGTGTATGTCCACCAGATATCTGTTGTTCACCAAGATGCAGCTCAGAGACTCGATTAAAGAGTTTTCTACTGCCAACCTTTGCCACATTAGTTTCGATAGTCTGCCAAAAGCGGAATGTAGGAGATGGAAATGTCACTTTCACATCAGCGGTAGATTGGAAAGTACAGAGACTGAGACTCAGACATGGTCAGATCTGGAGAAGAGAGTTTACTTGCTTAGACTTGTAAGATACTGATGCACTTCTGCAAAGAATTAGGGATTACCAGCTGCAGTTACCGTCCTTGCCTTTTGGTTTGGGATCGGCTCCCTTGGATACAAGAAACATGCAAACATCTTTGCAGCCCTTATGAGCTGCCAAGTGAAGCGGTGTCCAACCGTCATCCCTATGGCGGTTGACATCTGCTCCTTTCTCTACACGATCTTTGCATGGCTGGAACGCTCCATTCTCAGCAGCCTGCCAAAGCACGCTGCTCAATTCTTTCTGTTCCTCTTCACTCAAGACACGTTACTTGGCTGGCTCTGGTTGCATTTCATAATTCTTGGACGTAGATGTCACAAGATCATCATCCATCATGCCCTCGACGTTCTGTCCTTGATTTTGGGCCAAGAAAGCGAGCTCATCAAGCGATGCCTTGAGATCTTCCCAAGCGCATTTCTGGCACTGTTCTCCTTCCACTCTGTTGTGTAAGACAGGTGGAAGATGCTGACATAGCCATTCAGCTCACTTTCATACTTGGCAATCTACAGTCAGTCAAGTTGCCTTGATGCTGCTTGACTGAGCGTACTGCCTCCACACATGCTTGCAGGCTTGCTTGACCATCCACTCCTTCAACTGATTGAGGAGTGCCAGCAGACGCGCAAGAGCGTCCTGCTTGTTGTAGTCTGCCTCCTTCTCAAGCATGGTTCCCAACAGACGCACCTTGTTCTTCAGCGCCTGCAAATGCTTCTGGTTCGTCTTTTGGGTTTCTGCAATGTCAGATATCTTTGCACAGCGTGGAGATGGTTGAGAGCTGATCCATTGGAAAGCATTCAGCCATGGACTGTGCCGTAGCGCCACTTGTGAAGTTTGTGATCACATCCATATCACACTTTCTACAGCCTCAGAGACAGGAAATACAGTGTATGAGTGTTTAGTAAGCTGTAGAAGCAACAAGGTTGGCAGAAGCTGTGAACTGGTTGTTGTTGCCAGCTTGCCAGACTGGGTTCTTGCAAGTGGTGCCAGTCTTGGTGCCATACTGGACTGCCTTCCATTGGTAGACAGTGCCAGGAGTGAGAGAGATAGGACCACATTGCCACACGTTGCCAGTAGACCAGTTGCACTTGACTGGGTTGCATGCATCCCAGCTGTTGAAAGTGCCAACGACGTAGACAGAGTCACCAAAGCCTGCGTCGTGGGAGACCTTGAAAGAGACAGTAGCAGCAGATGGCACAGAAGTAGTAGTTGGGGCAACAGTGGTTGGGATCACAGTAGTTGGAGCACCAGTGATGGTAGATGTGACAGTGACAACAGTGGTAGTGGTGCAGGTAGTGGTAGCAGAAGACTGGACTGGAGTGGAAGTTGGCAACACGGTGGTTGGAGCAACAGTGGAGGTTGGCACAACAGCTTCAAGGTATCCATCAGTGTCAGCATACAATGCCAAGACACGGGACTTGTCAGACTGCAAGAGACGCACGGTGGTCTTGCCAGAAGCATCCACAGTGTAAGCCACTTGCTCTTTGGTCAAAGTCACACCAGGCCAGAGGACACACTTGCCATTGACGTTTCTTGCATAGACCATGTTGCAGTAGGTGCCCTGCTTCAAGCCAGTGCTCAGGGACACGATCATATCCTCAGTTGTACCACCGCCCTGAGCAGAGTTGATGGCAACAAAGCCTCTTCCAGCAACAGACCAGTAGATCTGGTTTCTACCAGCAGAAATCACAGTCACTGGTGCATTCAAGCCCTTGCCCATGAACGTTCTCACACGTGCGAGTGGGTAGACGTCAGAGTATCTGTGTTGGCACAACCAGCCATTGCCACAGGTGTTGTTTGTAGCAATAGGAATAGATGAGATCAAACCGGTGGCAGCGTCATAAGGAGCTGTGACTGGGACTTCTCTAGCTGGCTCTGGACCGTTGAAGACAAACTTGAAGCCAGAGTGGACAACTGGAATACCGTATGGGTAGAGAATGTTGAAAGCGACGGCTTGCTTGTACCACCAGCCACCATTGACTTGGGAAAGGGCGTAGTTGTTGTTGCCATCAACGTCTCTTTCTTTGTCATGGTTCTCAACAAAGGTCTGGGAAACATAACCAGGCAGCTGCTGGCTGTTCAAGGTGTTGACGAGCTGGTCAGTGGTGAATCCACCAACGTTTCTGAAAGCACGGCCGACAGCAGATCCATAGTCAAAGTTAGTCACACGGCCAAGGGATTGGTAGTTTTTGTAAGTGCCGTCAGAGCCGAAAGCGTAAAAGATCTCCCAAGCAACATAAGGCTTGTTGCCTCTGTAGTTCTTGTTCAAGCCAGAAGTGATTGCTTGCCAGTCAGAGAGAGGAATACACTTGGCGGCATCGACACGGAAGCCAACGACACCGTAGGACGTGAGCTTGTTCAAGAACTCGATGATCTTGGAGCGGACGTAAGGATGTTCAGTTTTCAAATCGACCAGTTTGGCAAGACGGCAGTTGTAAACAGAGAAATCATTGTTCCAGTCGATGTCGCCATTGCACACATTGTCGTGGTAGTGTTCAGCGGTATAGCCAGCATCTGGGAAGGACTCGCCAAACTGAGAGCCAGTCCATGGGTTAACAGAGCCAAAGGATTTGCTAGACTGGATGTTGACGTAGGAATTGTGGTTCAACACGACATCAACTACGATATCAACACCAGCGTTTCTACATGTATCGACCATATATCTAAAGTCTGCTTCCGTTCCGAGACGGTTGCCAATGTTGTAGCCCACTGGCTGATACATGATGTACCATGGCAGCTTCTGGCCGTCCTTTGGATCATCAATGTGGGCTTGCACGGGAGAGGTCTGGACAAAAGAGTAGCCGTTAGGACCAAGGAACTCTGTGCACTCACGGGCAATATCACGGAATGGCCATTGGAACAGTTGCACACCGACTGCTTTGTCGTTGATGTCAAATTGCGCAGAGACAAGTTGAGCTAAGAGCGGAAGCATGATGTGCGGGGATATTTTCCCTTTTTATGTGAATGGGGTTTGGTCACACATCCATCAGACATCAAGTGTCATCACGCGCACCCGTGATCCACCGTGGTCACACAAAGCTTGGACCCTCGACGGTGGACCCTGATGAATGATCCCGTGAGTACATTTGGGTGCGAAGCGGCACACGACATCAGCTGGTATTGATTGATTCATCAGGTCCTGTCGACCTATGATCCCGAGAGATCTCTTTTAGTCATCAAGCCCGCGTGACCACGCCGTTCTTTCATGGAGATGATCAGTTTCAAGCAAATGTGTTTAGTAAGCTGTGGAAGCAACAAAGTTGGATGATGCGGTAAACTGGTTGTTGTTTCCAGATTGCCACACTGGAGTCTTGCAAGTGGTGCCTGTTCTGGTACCGAACTGAATGGCTTTCCACTGGTAGACAGTTCCTGGTTGCAAGTTAGTTGGGCCACATTGCCACACGTTACCAGCAGACCAGTTGCACTTGACGGCATTGCAGGTGTCCCAGTTGTTGAACGAACCAACGACATAAACGGCATCACCAACACCAGTGTCATGCGTTACTTTGAAAGAAACAGCAACGGTAGTAGGCACTGCGGTTGGCGTTGGCGCAACAGTTGTAAAGATATCAGTGATCGTCACAGTTGGCGCAACAGTCGTAGGAACAACACTAGTACTTGGAACCACTGGCTGGATGACACCATCAGTAGCAGTGTATAAAGCAACGACACGCGACTTGTCACCAGAACGAATTCTAACAGTGGTTCTTCCCTGAGCATTGACAACATACTGCACAGTCTCCTGGTTGCCTAGAACGACTCCTGGCCAGAGCTGACAGGTATTTCCAGAAGCAAAGCCATAAACCATGTTGCAGTAAGTACCAGCTGGCAAACCAGTGTCAAGGGTCTGGATCATGTCCTCGGCAGATCCCCTGTTGCCCTGTGCAGAATTGATCACAACAAATGCTTTTCCAGGGACATTCCACCAGATCTGGTTAGATCCAGGGCCGTTGGTGTTGATCTT